ATCACCCTCATATTGTACGACTCTGCGGATTCGATACAACCGAGATTTTGATTGAGACTTGTTTTCTGATTTTGATGGAGTACTGTGAAGGCGGAAATCTCAACACACGTCTAGCAACACCGAGTGATAGCGATACTAACCTACGATGGATGGAAGAGTTGGCCGATGCTACGCGTTATCTGCACTCCAAGAACATCGTTCATCGAGACCTGAAGCCAGAAAACGTACTAATGACGGCCCAAGATTCCATCAAGTTGGGGGACTTTGGTTTCGCCAGAGAGTTTGCAGCTCTCAGACAAGCCAATGCCACACGATCAGACGAAGTCCTTGTGTCTTATATGATGAATATGTACATGAATACAGTCGCAGGATCAYMTCCCTGGATGGCACCCGAAGTGTTTGACGGACACTATACGGAGAAAGCAGACATCTTTTCTCTCGGTACGATATTCTACTCCATTGTTGAGCGAAAGAGCCTGATCTTCGGTGGCAAGAAATACTTCGGAGCATTTGTCAACACCCGTGGCCAAGAGATCGGCCTTGGCGTGGCGATGAAAAGTGATCGTAATATTATGGTGCCGCTGGATGAATTGCCACGCTCTACGAAGGAACTGCTTCGTGATATGCTAGATTGCAACCRCAGGAACAGACCCAATGCAGAAGAAGTACTTGAAAAGGTGAAGTCAATCCTCAGTAACATCAGGCCCAATGCAGAAGAAACCACTCAGCCGACAAGCTCATGTTGCTCTTAATGGATTATCCCTATATAATAAATTAGCACCACTTATAAATGAACTACAAAAGAACGCTCCTTGCATGCTTCATCTTATAGACCGGTTTCAGCAATTCCCAGCAGAGCTGTTCAACTCAKAGGAATTTCAGTTCTCGTGACAGTAAGATTCTATTGTTTTGTCTTCTGGATTGGACTGCATTGGGAATATRCTGCAAGGCCGGAGTCTATATACGAGTTGGCTAGCTACTACTTCGGAATTTCTGTGAATTCATCTTATTGGCTATACATATTTAAGCTCAGTTCAGTTTTTTGCACTATGTATCACAAAAGTAGTCTTACACCAAACTTTTAAAACGACTTTTTAGATAATGTTTTTCAGAATCAGAAGAATG